TTATTTCCGACGAGATAGAACCGACGGACCAAAACCGTCGGAAAGCCGTCGGAATAGGGGTTATTCCGACGGATTTCCGACGGTTTTGGCCGTCGTAAACGACCCTGTTTTCTTGTAGTGCTTGTACTTTGTCAATTATAAATAATGACTCTTCGGATCAATGTTGGGCCACCTGCGATCCAAATATACAAAAAGGGTGGTTGCATATATATGAGCCTTATCGTCATGGAATGAAATCGAATTTTAGAGATATCAAGTATCGTCTTACCTTTATCACCAAATCGATATATGATGAAAATTTCGTGAGAATCAGAAAATATTGTTTTGATGGTAAGTGAAGAGGCCACGTAATCCAACACAACAACAACAAGAAGAAGAAAATATTATTCCAGAGATATACCCTATACGATCTCGAGTCTTCACGAAGTATACAGCTCTACTAAATTACTATTATCATGTTCATGTGTATATATCAAATGTAGATCTCGTTTTTGCATCACACTGTATAGGCTTACATTTTAAATGACTTGCATTACACTGTATGGGCTTATTGTAAAGCATCAACACATGTCCGAATTCTTTATTGGCCACTGAGTATAGACTTTATAGATTGAGATATATCCAATGGGTCCGAAATATTTAGTTTTAAAAAGAGGAAAAATATGCACTGTATATGCAGCATGAACATTAATTAAGTGTACATTAATAAATGTCCGTACTATAAAGACATGACATGATTCGTCCGTATCAAATATTCCTCACATCTTAATTAAGAGATTTGTTTTCTGTACGTTTTACCGAATTAGAGTTGATGTTTTTTATCCTTTAGCTACAAGAGGCAAATAGTCAAGAAGGTGTGAATCGATTATAGCCTCAAATTCCTTCAGATTCTCCCACTATCTTTATTTCATTATTTAAAATGTGTGTTTTTATGAGGAATACTTTATTTATTTGTTCTAAACTTGATTCTCTATATAAAAAAACTGCTACGTTAGAGCATGTCCATTGGGGTGCTCTCAAATGTGTTTTTTAAATATTAAATTATTAAAACACACATTCTCTCTTCTTTTTACTCAACTTAATATCTTCTCTTTCATTCTTTTACTCAATTTTTATTAATTTTATATTTAAACACTCTCACTTCATTTTGAGAACACTATCTAAAAGTACTACTTTAAGAACACTCTCTTTTCCTTTTACTCAACTTTTATTAATTTTATATTTAAACACATCCACTATCTTCTCTCTTTACTCAAATTTTATTAATTTTATATTCAACATACCCCACAAAAACACTCTTTTTTTTCCTTTTACTCAAATTTTAATAATTTTATATTTTAAGAACACACTTGAAAACACCCCAATGTACATGCTCTTAAACCCTTAATATGAAAAGCCTTACTTGCCTAGGAAAGCTATATATAAAGGACCCT